ATCAATATATTTACCGGATCAAAGGATGAAACAGAAATAGAAGCAAGCTTTTTCTGAAGCAATATATTTATACACAGAAAGCAGCTTCGAACTAATTGACTACAATTCCTAAGGCCGAAATGTTAGATTAACAAATGGCGTTGGGCATCTGTTCGAATAAGGAACTTCATTAACTTTCTCGACAGCCAAATTTTCTGAATAGCCCAGCGGCAATGAAAAGTTTCACAGCGTAAGATTATGTAAGGAGGCAATAATTACACTTTCAGTGGAAAACTCGGTAAACATCTGGTATGTTCTTATATAGGAATGGCTCTAGTTGGTAGTGAGGCATAAAGCATATATTTTTAGATGAGGGCGAACTAAACAATAGTGTAAGGGCCAACATGAGGCAACTGCCTCTAAGATCCTAACTTCAGAAGCTTGGTAAAGCATAATCGACAGAATGCAAAGCATGAGCGAAGAATGATGAGACACTAGAGCATCGCCTCTTTGAGTGCCTAGCCTTTAGCCAGTTGCAACCAGATATCTTCAATGGCAGTTCAGCTGGAAGAACATCGGCACATACTCGTGCAAGTATATCGACCTTAGTCGAAGCAATGTGAACTGGCTTCCGTCTTCCGTTTGAATTTTCTGCTTTGTTACTTCTTAAAAATTATTAAAATACTTCAACAAAAACTATTTAATATCATTTTTTATATATGTTATGAGTTCTTATTTAATTTTATTTTTTTGCTTCTTCACTTATTGTAAATTATTTTCAAATTTATTGCTACTTTTGAGCTAAACTTAAGGATCCGTCAAATATCAATGCCCGCGTCGCCTATCCACACGCCAACACACCCATACACGAGCAAAGAATTTCAACGAACACTTCAATTGTTTTTTTTTTTCACTTTATCTATACAACAAATTTCCCAATTTAACAGTGACCCCCATTACAATGTCATGAAAAATGTGCTGAGCTACACGAAAAAATCATTAACAGCAGACAGAAATGACAAAACAAAAGACTCAAAACACAAACCCCCGTGCAATGTGTGCTGCAGCTTAATTCAGTATAACAAATGGAATAAACAAAACTACACCACAACAACAACAAGCTGCGAAAGCGCAAAACTTATTAGCGTTCTCCACAATATTTTCTAAGCTAAGCACATTTTTTATGATTTTAATTACAGAATGTAAGAGTAAATTTGTGTTGTTGTTGCGCCACACAGGCGTACTTACGGCGGCAACAACAAAAACGACCGCAATAACAGCAATACTTGCAGGCAAATGAAAATCATCAAATAACTTAAGCGATTGGCAAAAGGAGTAAAACAACAATAAAAAAATACAGTTAAACTATCGAGTGAGCGCTAGAAGCATGCAAACGTGTACCGGCTGCAACCGCCGCGCGCGCGCACCGCCGCTTTGCTCGAATGTGTGCGCGCGCCTTGCTGCCTGCTGGGGTGTTCGTTCGCCCGTCTGGCTGTCTGACCTTTGCGCGGAGAAAACTCGCATAGTTGGCTTTTGCATTGCGCAGAGAAAAAACCCAGCGAATGCATTGCGTTGGCGTTGCCACGGCAGCCAGTCCCATACACGCCAACAAGCGAGCGTTTCACGTTGAATTCCAAACGAAAAAAAAATCAAAATAAAATAAATGGCAAAATGACAGCGCATAACATATAGTAAATGCAATAGACACAAAAACAACAACAATAGCGAAAACGTTTTGCAACTACGTTCGCACAGCCTCCATGCAATAGAAACAACAACAATATCAACCAATCTAACAGCGCAATTCGACTGCCTACCCCGTTCACCTCACCAACGAACAGACGACATGAATTATTAAGATGCAGCTATGCGCTTACGCTTGCTTACAGCGCACAGCAGACCCCCATGGACCAGGCGGCTGAACAATTGCCGCAAACAGACTGTATTCAAGCGCGCGCGCACACACACAGAGTAAAGCAAGTATGTGTGTGTTGCCCTGGTAGGTGCGCTTTGTGTGAATGCATCGTTCGAAACTTTTTCTTACAACAACGAGACGCCGCCTCCGCCGTCGAGGTCGCCACAATGCTGGCAATCAATCGATAGCCGCCATGCTGGAATTTCTATGAATTTTTTTCTTTAAATTTCTTTGTTTCTAATCCCCAAGCCACAGATGCTATGCGCTGTGCTTTGAAGTTTTGCAGCAAACAGCTTGAAGGCTGTTTAGAAGTAACTAGAGACTAGAGAGCGCGCTATGCTTTTGAGATATAAAAAAGTTGTAAAGTATAATTCTAAGATAATTTAGAACACGATTGTTGCATTTTATGCGAATGCGGAAAGCAAAAGTAAAAGCAACTTTGAGTAATATTTGAAGTTTTTCAGGAGAAATTTTTAATACGCTAAAATGACGTCATTAGAATTACGAACAATTCGTTTCACTTTGGATCTAAAGCTCTATCGGCTAGGTTGCTGTAGACCTCCGCAGTTTTTTTTTGGAGCACCGAACACCACAGGGTATTCGAAGGTTGTAACGCAAGATGAGATATGAAAAATGCCGAAGAAGTCCGACAAGTAGAAGAGACAGTTTTAAATTTCTAATAAAGTTTCCAAATATTTTTTATGGAATAAAAATTAGTTTTACAATATCAAACATATTTATTTAAAAGAGTTGTTGTTTCCGAGAAGCTCAAATAAAATCAGTTGAACTGGGTTGGCAAGTATTTAATTTTAAATAAAAATGGTTGAAAATTTATAAAACTCTCAAATATGTCGCTAAAGATCCAAACTATAATTTAAGAAAATATATTCATACATCTTTTAAAATAAGGTTGTCATGAGATATAAATTACAAATAAATAACTTTAAATGTATAAAAGCTAGGATAGAAATATTGCGATATATGTAAATAGTTATAACTCTAACTATGGAGACGATATAAGCCAAAAATATAAAATTTTAATCCCTATAAAAATGTTTATTGTAGTTGCCACCTTTTTTAGTTTTTGAGTGTTTTACTTTAGCATGCTACTTATTTATTTTATTATTATTATTTTACTATGAGCCAAAAATTGCGTCTCAAAACTTCGGAAAACCGCATTTTAAGTTCGATTTGATACATTTTTGGCTACATATAATATTCGCTGTCAGCTATGATATCGCAACCACTGTCAAAAAACTTTGAAGAAATAGTTTCGTTAGCAACGGTAAAGAACCGAAACCCATATAAAGACAACAGACAACGACAAAAAGGACAGCGCCAGAGCCGAAAAGTCGCGTATCGGGGTGTGTACAAAGTCATAAGACAACCAACCTATAACATCGAGTTGAAAAAGTATTTTCGTGTTTATCTGTTTTCGGCAAAGAGCAAAAAATTTGCAAGCACCTAACGACAATAAAGCAAACATTTCAACAGTAACAACAACAAAAATGCCACAAGACCTGGTAAAAGCCAAAGATATCTATGTTCGTGTGTATGTATTTAGATGTGTAGACAAGACTTTTGGTATATATGAGACGCGAGCACAGCATCAACCAATACAACAAGTAGCCAACAAAGTTTTGTGACCAAAGCGATTAACGAAAAAGAGCAAAAACGACAATGATGTTAAAAGGAAAGAGAATACAATAACGATTTTTAAGCCACCTTTTCAGTTAACTTAAAGTACAAGCACAACAACAGCAGCAAGAGCGGGCGAAGTGGTGATAATGGTGATGGTGCTGGAGCTGGTGCGATGCTGAAGCTGGCGGTGGTGGCGGTGGTGGTGGCGGAGTAGGCAATAAGAAATAACATTGCCATGTCTTACTGATGGCAGTGCATAAAACATAAAATACAAACAACAACAAGCACAAGAAGAAGCATGCAGACATACACGCACACATGTTTGAGTAAATAACCCAACGAATATAGCAAGCAAAGAAATACAAAATAAAATGAAATATACAAAATAAAAGAACAATTCGATGCTGAGCAACTCACAACCGATGCGAAGAAGTGGAATATGTAGCGAGTCCAATTTGAAATATATAAAAGATTGAGATGAAGAAAATCAGAAAGACATAGACTTATAGTCATAGTAGAGCCACGAAAAGGTAATAAACAAAAACGAAGGCAAGAACACCACAAAAGAGATGAAGGCGAAGCTAAAGAAGAAGGAAAAACGGTCAGATACAGTAAAAAACATAGATACAATAACAATAATGTGATATAGACAAGCGATTCGAATAACAATAATGAAAAGAAGTGAACGAGTAAAAGCAAAAAATATCAACGAACAAACAAACGAAAGACTTAAGTCACAAGCGCTGGTATAAATTACAACGAACGAACGCAGCGCCTACAGGTACAACGAGCAAGCAGCAACTACACGCGCAACTAGTGGACATGGAATGGGAAGAGAGAGAGAGATCACGCATTAACTTCAGAGAGTCGTCGAGAGATTTCCCAACACAGCTTACAGGTACACACAGCATAGCATCCACAAGCGACAAAACGGCCGACAGTGTACCAACAAGCCAAGTAACGAGTAAACACGTCGAAAGGCCAACCAGCTGAGTTCGGTTGCCATAAATATTTGTCGCTTTATGGCCAAAACAACGCTGCAGCACGATTCCCAGCAGGTAATGCCAAGAGAAAGGTCCAAAGAGAGAGAGAGAGAGAGAGCGCACAAATTTTTACTAAAGCAAATAGAGAGAAAGTCAGCGCATGCGATGAAGTAGCACAAATATGATATGCGATCGCCTGCTGATGTAGCATGCAGCCAGCCAAAGCAACCGAATCTCTGTGGCAACACTGAGTGGCACGCAATGCTGCCACAAATACAAAGATCGACACACCACTGCCATCATATAAGTTTATAGACTGACTCAAGGCGATTTTTCTGCAAAATAAATACTAACCACTAACCATGCTACCACAACCATAGCACTGTCACAGCGATCTCGCCAGCAGTGGCTGCATACATAGCTGTGCAAACTTTGACTTGGCATGCGGACGTCGTGCGCTCCACGCGTATGTAGCGAGTGCGCATTGCCACTTACATACACCGCAACGAAAGGGGTCGACCTAAGCAACGATCGCGCGGCGCAGACAATCAGCCATGCAACCAATCTACATTTGGCCTCTTGCCGTATGACCGAGAGTCTGCGCATGCGCCACAAGACAGTTGCCTTCAGCTTTCTTTGGATAGAGTTAGAGGAAAAGTGCAGTAGATAAATGGCATGGCAGGAGAGTGTAGGGGCAGCTTTGGTACTTGATGTAATGGTTTTCGTAAAATTGAAGCTGCAGCCAGTTTGCTACATGCGAGTGTTATTTGCAGGCGCGTGGGCATCATGCATAAATAGCAATTGCTGGCTGACACAAATGTTTGCAGAGAAATCCGAAGCTTTGAAAGAGGAGGAATGTACGGTTTTAATTTATACTACTTCTCTTTTATTTCCAATTCACGTTTGATTAGCTGTCTTTATTTATATTGTGAAATAAACATATTCCACAGGAATTGAGGTCTAGTAGCTTTAGACCCAAGCATGCCATTTTCTATGTTCGCTGAGTTCGGTTCGGTGTTAAGTACATTTTGGGTAGATATTATTAAAGCTGTTCAAAACATGCGGAAGACAGCATTCGCCTATATTAATATAATACGGTCTCTATTCTGTTACAACTTTTCCTACTCTGAATATTTCCCTTGCACTCCTTTCCAATTATATATTCCTATATTGTAACTTTAGTGGTATCTTGAAGAATTATATGACAATTGTTTCTAAAAATCTACCTTTCCACCTTTTCAGTTAACTTAAAGTACAAGCACAACAACAGCAGCAAGAGCCGGCGAAGTGGTGATAATGGTGCTGGTGCTGGAGCTGGTGCGATGCTAATGCTGGCAGTGGTGGCGGTGGTCAAGTTTTCTCCTACTTATTGTAATGTGTGCAGAATTCTCGTCTTGTTTTCGGTATGGAAATTAATGCCGCTTGACAAAAAGGTTTTCTACAATTCTGAATTCCTAAAATCAATGAATGGATTTCTGGAATAATCCTTTTTACTACTACAAATCCACGACAATTAGGAAGGGGCGCTCGGCTGCTACTCTCACTCGCTCTCTAAATGTATAACAGTAGAACTGATATAATTTCGGCTCTCTGAAAGTAACGGATGCTTACAAGTGAAGACGATAAAGAATATTATAATAATTAGTTATTAACACCAAATGATTAGAATGAAGAAGAGAAGTTTAAATAAATTAAAGGCTAAATAATGCGCTGATTCAATTTAGTAAACCAAATTGAGATTTATAAATTAACGATTGCATAAAAATCGCCACACCAAACTAGTTAGTTGGGTATTCAAATTAGCCAACGAAAAGAAGTAAACAATTTTTGATTTCAATTTCGAAAATTGTACCGCTGATTATGACACAAATTAAAATAAGTAAAAATAAACGAAGCGAAAAGCGATAAAAATATGCAAAACAAGTGAGCAGTAAACCCAAAAATGGAAAAAATACACAAAACAATGACAACACACAGAGCACATGATAAACTGGCTCAGAGCAGACTGATATGTTTGGATGACCACGTCGGCTACTTAGTACAAGTAGATGGATGGAGTGCGACTTGGGCTTGGCAAGAGAGGGGCGCTCCGAAAGAAATGCACCAATCAAGAAACAAGTGGACCCGGCTCAAACTGCCAGAGAATGTTTATCACAGCGACCGGCTTAAGCTGCCGGACCATTGCGCTCTGCAGGGCGAGGAGCAGGGTAGGCACAGCCAGTAACGCAACTGGTCACCAGCACAGTTACAACAACGCGTACAGATAAAAGTCACAAGGCGGTGGCTTGATAAGAAACCAGTAATATCAGCGGCATGGCACTTACCGAGTTCATAAGGCGCTGATGTTTTATAGCGTTGGAGCGGTGAGTGGAGAGCGTGGAGCGTACGTTGGTAAACAAGCATGTAACGTGTGCCGAACACGCATGCAAAAGTTGTTGCCGCTGATTACAGCGCACTATTGTGGTTGGCTTTGTTGTTGTTGGTGAAGATGTTTGTTATTATTTCTTGACGTTGTTGCACTGCCGCGTTTTTGTTTTGTTTTGATTTGCTTTGCTTCGCTTGCGGATTTGTTATGTGAATGACAGTTTTCGCGATTAATCGGTGGCACTGACTTGCGTCTTGACGTTGCAATGATGGTGTTGTATGTGTGTGTTGCAAGGACAACAATCAGCGCGGTGCATTGAAGTGTAATGTTGAGCGATGGCAATGTTGTGCCGTAATGGCGCCTAAAGGATTAAGTGAAGCAGCAATGCATGCGAGAATGAACTGTGCGAACAGAGGTCTCCTAGCTGGACTGCTCTGAAGCATATGAACGGTAAACAAATTTCATTGTAAGAAATATATTTTTTATTGCAAGAAATTTTCGTCATACATCATCTGACTGAACAATTTTTTTTTTTTCGAAATTACTCATTGTAATACTCGGTTAATTTAGAAGGTTGCCACAAGTTCGAAATTTTAAAGTAATAAATACAAAAGTAAAGAGTTATTACATTACTATTATAGTAACCAACTAAAGAGGTTTAAAAAGCTGTCAAAATTTTATTTGTAATAATTTGATCAGAAAAATGCTATGAATATTATGCTAAAAATATTTATATTTGAAAATAATTCCGAAATGTATTGCCATCGCAAATTTGTTTACATAAATGAAATATCACAATATGAGCATCAAGTTAAAAAAATATTTAGGTCAGAAATATGTTTCAGAAGGTTACCATCCAGGGATTAAAGGCATGAAAAGACGTCATAGCTGAAAAAATTTTACATCGACTATCTTCCTCGATTTTCTATCGCTTCTTCAGAATAAAACAGACTTTTCCACTTTTTATAAAATTGAATATTTATAACATACCTAGCAAGTTTCACTTGCATTGCGTATATATAGTTCAACCTACATATATTCTCAAAGTTCTCCACTTTTTTAAGATTATTTTGCGAATTTTTTAACTTTTAGGTTTTATTGGAAGCATCAGGAGTGATTTTTTTTGGCGTCCCATATTAAAATATCATGTGATCAGCATGACGACCTGAGTCGATTTAGCTATGTCCATCTATCTCTTCATCTGTATATACGCAAATTAGTCCCTCACTTTTGAGATATCGATATGAAAATGTGCATATGTATTTTTCTCCTCAAAAAGCTGCGTATTTGTAGGAACCACCTATATCGGACCACTATAGGATATAGCTCCTATACAAACTGACCGATCAAAATCAAGTATGGAAAACTGTTTTAATTAACAAGATATCTTCACGAAATTCCAGGACAATATTATAATCTCTAAAGATATGATTCAAATATGCCCGCCATAGCATATAGCTATTTATAACGTACGCTAAATTAACTTTTTACCTCGTTTAAAAATATTTCATGGAGTTTTTTAACTTCCCGGTTTTACTAGATGTGTGAGACGAGGAATGAATTTTTTCTGTCGGCCCGTCCTAAAGTATTTTTGGATCTTTTGAACGAGACGATACTGGTTTTTCTTAAATTAATATCAATACAAATTTCTTCATTTCTCAGATTGTTTTAACTGTAAACTTTTCTATTTTTTTTTTATTTTTTGATTTTTTTTAATCAATATATATGTACCATATACACTTACTCGCTGAAAATCTCTTTGTTCGCATTACTTACATAACACGCCTTTGATTGAAGTTAGCTTGTTGAAGTTGTTGTTGTAGGCATTAATATGGTTGACATCGACTTTGTTGAGTTTACTGCTGCTTGTTGTAGTTGTGGCTGCAACTGCTGTATGGTTTGGTTATTGTTGCATTGTTGTTGTTATCGCTTTTTGTCAGCAGCTGGCAAGGCAAGCTGGCCAATAATTACATTTCTTCGCGTCTATTTGGCACTCAAGTGGCTGGCTATTTCAGCATTTCGGTTCACTAATAAACGTCTATGGAGACCGCTGTTGCTGTGTTGCTGTTTGTCTGATTGCCTGGTTGTCTAGTTGTCTGGTTGGCTGCCGGTTTATGTGACAGTTTCAGGATTATATTGACTCATAGCAAAAACATAAGGAAATCATAATTTTTGCAAAGCACTACCACTTCATTTGATTGCATGTCTATGCTATGCGTGCATGTGTATATGTGTTTGGGAATTTGTATTATTTTTTTATTATATACTAAATAAATTGCTTTTTGTGTATGTATTGGTGTGAGTATTGGCACATAAATTCACTGATTTAATTTCTTTTCATTTCCGGTTAATTTAATAATTTCAATTTTTTCGCTGCGACTGCAACAAACCGTTGTTGTTTTCGTAAATTTCTTTTATTTTTGGTCACTTTCCGCACACTTGTCTAACACTTTCCGTATGTTTTTTCAATATTTGCAATCGTTTGCTGTGCCACCACTTTGAGTTGTGGAAATTTTATGAATTTTTTAAATTCGTTTTTATTGTTGTTATGCGCGCTGCTGCATTGAAATTGCACTGTAATAAATAAAAAACAGTTTTTTTTTATTTCAATTTTACAGCTTTACAGCGCTTATGTGTATGTGTGCATAAGCGTGTATGTGTATGCTTCTTTCTTTGAGCTGACAGGAGCGCTGCGACGTTAAGGCCAAATTTATTGCATCGAAATTGAAGTAATTTAGTCGTTAAAAAATTAATAACATGTTTATATTAAACTGCGAAATTTATTTTGCCTTATAATTCTTCATAGACACGGTAAACCCCCCTACAAATAGTTAAGTGCTCATACCCATAACCAACTCCATGCAGAGCTACGCCACCCCTCAACGCCACAGCACACGCAATTCATTGCACTGCGGAATTTTCGTTAGCTTTGTGCGCACAGCTTGCTGACAGCATAAGCACGCAGGCGCTTGCACACTAGCAATCAACAAGCGACGGCTATGGCCGTGCGACGCACACAGATGCAAGGGTCTGAAACCAATTGCTTTGGTTTAGTAGTGTGTTACACAACACTACAACAACTACAAGCAAGTAAAAGTCAACAACAAGCTACACTTCAATCGACGCTTAAATCTTTTGACTCTTTTATTTTGGATTTTATTGTTACCACAATTTTATGCGCGTGTTGTTGTTAATGTTGTTGTAGCTATGTGGTAAGTGTTTGTTATTATGCTTTTTTGCTTCACTTCGTTTTTATATTATTACAATTAATTTTATTATATTTCTCATTTGATTACATTCCGTGTGCTTTTCACTTTAATGATTATTTACTTCGCTTTGAATTTTTACATTCTCACATTTCTGTAAGCCGTTTGCATTGCTTTTTACTACATTTTTTTTGTAAAGGTGAAGCTACTCATACCCAAATGGGGAGATATTTAAAGAGTTCAACGGTGACTTGAACTTTTTCCAACCCTCAAAATATATAAACAACAAAACAAACACGAAATCAAGCAAAAAAAAAACATAAGCGAATGGCTAAAATCACCTTAACAATGATTGGTTTGGTGGCAATGACGCTGTGACGCGGACAATGAAGGGCAAAATGATCATGAGAAAAAAACCTGTTGCATTACAAAAGAAATGTGGAAGATGAGGGTGATAAGTGTGAGCAATGAAATGAAATGTGGAAGAAGTACTTAAATATTTAAATACTTGCACATTTATATATATATTATATATTGTATTATATATATATATACTTATGTAGGCACTTCAGAGGTCAAAGTCGTTGAAGTGAAAACATTTAGAACGGAGTTTTAAAGCCATAGAAAGTTCGGTTTTACAGAATATAAAATAATGTAATCTAAAGTAATGCAATTAGTTGTAATGTAATAGCTGCACAAATATAGATAATTTCGAGCCAAATACTTGAATTAATCGAGAAAGTGCAAAAAATGTTTGGTAATCGAAAATAATGCTAAGTACTTGTATTGTAATGTAATCAATTTTAAAAAAGACAATTTTGAGCGACATATTTAAATATAGAAATATTAAAAAAAATAAATTCGTTTCGGTAATCAAAAGTAATGTTAAGTACTGAAATCATAGCATTTTTAAAATTGTTAGGCAATTTCATGCCAAATTATTGAATCAATCAAGAAAAATTAAAATTCGTTTTTGGAATCAAAGGTAATGCTAAGTAATGTAGTGCAATCAAAGCATTAATAAAATTGTTAGGCAATTTCGAGTCATATATTTGAAATAATCAAGTAAAATTAAATTATCCTTTAGTAATGAAAAGTAATGCTCAGTAATGTAATGTATTCCAAATCTTTTTAAAATTGTTTACACGTTTTGGAGTCAAATATTTCAGTTTAACAAGAAACATGGAATTTAATTTTTGTAATCAAAAGTAATACTAAGTAATGTTATGTAAATATACTAATGTAAGAGCAGTATTAGTGGTATTTAAGACACAATAACTAATTAAATACTTAAAGTATCAATAGCACTTCAATGCAATATTTTTAAATGTTTATATAATATAAAGAAACGTACCCTAGCGTACGATCAGACATATATTATTCAACTTCAAGCGTGTAAAAAAGTATGAGTTTTTAATTTAACCCATTATTAGGGGTATTTTTTATTTTCCTTTTTTTAAATAGTCAAATTCTAAATAGCCACTTTCTACAGTACAGACGACTTCCGTTTTCTGTCATGAAAATTCGAGTAATTTGAAATTAGTTCGCATGACGTTGTCCCACATACTATCTACATCATATATTCTTCTTGTAGACCAAAATCAGTACAATCTAAATACTAAATACAAATATATGCGTTAGTCGTATTCCCATCATTGTTTATTTGATGTTGATTTTGTTTGGTTTCTTGTGCGGCTGATTTTTGCTGTTTCTTCATTCTCTTTTAGTGGTTTTTCTGGTTACTAAGTGATGAACTACTCGACTATGTTAGCTCATCGGACTTGGGGTTTGTTGTTGTTTTACTTGTTTTCGTTATTATTAATTTTGTTATTGTCATATCAGCTGTTTCCATCTCATAAAATGCGCCAAAAATGCTGGTTTTGTGGGATTTCCGCGCTAGTTTTTAAACTTAAGTAATTTTTGTATTTTATGACATAAGTGTAATAATATTTTAAATATATTTTATTTGAAAAGTTTTCGATATAATTTTTTAATTTAATTTGTGATTACAAATATTTATATCTAAATAAATATATACGGTGATTTTAACTTCCGAACTATTCTCTAAAAATTTAAGAGTAATTTTTTAGTAAGATGAGATAATCATTCAAAATTGAGTAAAATGAACGAATTATTATATTACCGATCAACTGTCGTACTAACAAATCGGCGATATTTACTTTCTTATGTTTTCTTACATATTGTAAGCTCGGACCATCATAGAATATCGATAAAATTTGCTTTCACTTTTTTATGTAGTATGAATAAGTCTCATTGAAGTAAACAACTTTAAGTGGTGATAAAAATGTGCTCTTATTGCCGCTAACAAAACTTGTTTGTCGGATTAGTAGATTTCAGTTTATATGTTTGCCCCACAGATATTATATGATATACACTTTTTGCAAGGCGTGACTTATTATTGAGTCGTTGACAAAGCTTAAAGAATCCATGAGTAAGTTTTCATAATATTTTGTTTTCTATTTAGCTGACCATGACGCATTTCAAAATATACTTCTGAAATCTAAGAAATTTCTATTGTGTTATATGTAGATATACCGTTATAAAAATATTAAAGAAAGAAGTCTGTGCTATTATTTGACTCACAACATATATTTAGATATTTTTTATTTATCGAAAAACTTAGGCTGAATACATAGTGTAGTGGAAAAAATCTATTTATATGAAAGGATTGAAATTATACTTTCCATTCCCTAAATTTTTGCTTTTAGCTACTTTTTTTCAAGTCTACTGTGTAGAACACTCTTCTAGAAACCATTGAACGAAGTTAAAAGTCACATTAAAGCCTTTTATCGTACGTATTCTCTCAAAATAGAGCATTACAAGCCGAATCTGAATAAGAATCATAGCAAACTTTTGGAGTTGTATGGTGATTCCTTAAGTACTATTCATTCCAAACTAACTCTCTTTTCGCTTTTCTTATTATGTCACAAAGTTTGTATCACCACGAACATCGACGAACCAATAAAATATATATATAAATGATGAGCGTGGCGAACTGAGTCAATTTAGACATTTCCGTCCATCTATATATACACGAACTAGTCTCTCAGTTTTTGAGATATCGATCTGAAAGTTTGCACATATCCTTTTCTTTCCAAAAAGCTGTTTGTTTGTCGAAATCGGATATCGGACCACTGTGTCTATGTATAGAAAACTTTTTATTTGACGTGATATCTTTCCAAAATTTTACACAGATCATTATCTAAGACAACAACATAATCTCCGAAGTAATTGTTCAAATTGGACCACTATAGTTATAGCTATACTATATAGTATATATATATTTCAAAGTGGTCTCTCGACAACATATAACCTACGCTTACTGCTAACTTCAATTCTTTTCGCCAGTAGCAACACATTTCAATTACTTTTAAGAGACATGCTGAACTCATATCACTAATAATACGAAAATATATTAGTATACTATTATATCATTACAATAATAATTTTAATAAAATAGCTTATTATTATAAATGTTTTTCTTCTTTCTAGACATAAAAGTATAAGCAATATAATTTTGACATAATTAGTCAACTACAAACATAAAAAGTTAAAATTTTTAAATTGTTTCAATTTAGTTAAAAAGTAAACAAGTGAATGCTAATGTGAAAAATTTCGCGCCAAGAATGTCATATTGAGAACAGGTATGATAAAGTAAAGAGGAAAGAAGGTAAGCATTATAACAATTTTTTTGTAATTCGCAAGGCTTTTGGCTAAGCAAATTTTTATTTATAGAAGCGCACTAGAATATGAGTTGGTCGCTTGACCAGAAGCTCATAATAATTTCACCAATTTCTTTGCACAAATTTTTTTATTTTTTTTTTTTTGTTTTTGCAAATATTATTAATATTGATTTTACTTTTACCCAGAGCATTTCTCCCGCTGGTGTTGACTTTTTATTCTGTTTTCATTTCCCATTTATTGTTTGTGATCTGACTAAGAAAAAAGCGCGTCTTTGCTAATTAACACTTTTTGAATACAGCGCTCCCGCACCCATACACACATGTAGACGCATACACAGGCAGGCGCGTTTAATCAACTCCAATGGGTTTTATGTTACAAACACTAGTGCGCATATATACACGCTTTATACGTACACGTAGCTATGTAGCTATGTTTTACTGCATATGTGTGTGTATTTGTGTATACTGGTTGGCAATAACAACTCACATCACTGCACCAACACAATGACACGGGAATGGGAAGAGACGAGAAGCGCGCGCCGCGCGTCTTTTACACAAAACACTGTTGGCATTCTGTTGTTGGCGAATTTGCACTGCGGCACAACAATAACAACAACAACATTGGCGTTAAACGCGTTGTACACGGATACATTACAGTGTATATATTATTCTTTTATTTTTTTTTTAATTTGTTATTTTATATTTTACACTCGAATGTGTGGCAGCCACGCGCGCCTTCTGCAATCGCCAACAAAACGTTTGCTTTAATTTTAATAAAATGTTTGTAAATATTTATGAAAAATCACAAACTCCAAATGATTGCACACAATTGGAAACAGACACAATTCAATACTTTTAAAGCACAACAAAAATTTTCCAATTTTTTAAATATTTCACATAAATCAACACAAATAATTTATTCTCGTTTTTCGTCTCTGCTTTGCGTTTGTTGTAATTGCTAAATATTTGCAGCTAAATCACTGGCTCACTGCCGCAATGTTGCGTGGCATATTTCATGTGGAAATATTTGATTTCTTGTATATTTTATTTGAGGAAAAATTCTTGTGAATTTGTTTCCTTGGTCGAAAACAAAAAATATCACGTCTCGAACTCGACTATTATTTTGTGTGCTGTGATGTGGAGTGTGTTGGAGTGGAGTGGTGCGGTTGGTGCCCAAAAGGTGTACAAACCACATAAACGAGCGAATGAGGCAACAAACGAGTGAACGAGCGAATCTACAAAGCGGACACTAAGGCAGTCAGTCAGCCAACCAGCGAATTAGCCACCGAAAATCAACGATATAGCGTGAGCGCACAGTCCACACAGTTGCATGCTCTATAGCGTGTAATCTCAGCTCACACGTGTGCCTCTCATGCTAGTCGATGAAAAACCAATACCTATGAGTTAGTTGTGAGCACCGACTACCTACGTCGCGCTGTTACCTGTATACCCGCCGACGCCTACAAGTGCAGTGATCGCGTACCGAAAGCGGAGAGCGTGTGCGAGAGCACGCACACACACATACTCACTGTGCGCTCTGAAGCACCTGTAGCCCAAGTGCATGCGCCGTGTGTGCGTGAGAGCGGGCTATGTGGAAAGTGTTTGAAAAGGTAATTTGCTTTTTATGGTTTCATCTCTGTAACCCATACAAGCGCACAGTAGACACACATACACAAGCAAGCGCGCATCAGCGCTACCCTCCTGCTGTGTTGCTCATTTCGTTTATTAATGTATCTGTGTATAATAAAATCATCGATTGTTTTATTATGGTTGTGTGTGCGCAGGTACTTTTTTCACATGGACGCAACGTGGGAGCGGTGCGCGCGGTGTTGACGGCAGTGGCTGGCAAACGCGCAACCGTTGTCGGTTTTAGCGCACTAAACGAAAGATTCAAGTCACAAACTTTACGCTGCGCACACGTTTTTACCCTCACTCGCTTGATTGCTTCGCTTGTTCGGGTGCTGTGCTATTGAGATTTATGGGCACAGTGGGGCATTGTTGCGATTGAATATAAATTTAGAATATATAAATATTTTGTTGAAGCAAATGTAAATTATAACTAGTTTTCAAAAATATTTTATATTTATCATATATTAATTTATTACAAGATTTTTCACGAATTCCATATTTCGATCACAATACTTTCTATATTTAGAACAATGAAAAAGAACAAAGTGAGATTTTTGTATAACAGCCTTATAACAAGGGGGTGTTGAAATATATTTTAATATTGAACCTGATGAGAATTTCAGTAGTGGGTTCAGTGAAAAAGTAAGATCTAGTTTATCATCTTCTCGTTAAATTATTCAGGGGTTGAGGAGAAGCATCAATTAGGAAACACTATTCAAAATTCAACATTTTTTTTTATAACTTTTCTTTCCAAGGCAATTTCAACATTGTTTCAATTGTTTTCCAAAAGCAACACACTGTGCTCAACAATTACCAACAGCACTCCCTCAAACTGAGCACCGCTTGAAACCACCAAAAGTACCGACATTCAATTTCAAATTCGATTCATATCGGGACGGTGGTTGGCGATGGCAACGGTTCACACTCCCACCGTCACCAACAAGCGTAGCGCGCAGCAGCAACCAGCCGCACCAACAGTGCTCGTGATAACAACAACAAATATTGCTGCGTCGCAATGATTATATGCTAAATACACGCGCACAACACATGCATACATACATGTACACATACATAAATGCAGACAGCATACATACATACCATATGTAGGCGCATAAAAATGAGTGTCTAATAAATAGCGTGCGTAAGTCCCGCGCTAGAAACGTAAATTGGAATATATCTGTGTGTGTGTTAGTGGCGTTGGGAGTGCGTGTGTATGTATGCTCGTTGCTTAGGGATAGTACGGTTAAGTGCTGAAATCAAAAAGCCAACGCTGCAATTGTTGTTGCTCAGAATAATAATGACACAGTGGCGGTTCAAACGTAATTTGCGGAAAGGAGGAACGCACGTCAGTTATAGTATTGGAAATTAAAAAGAAAATATATAGGTTCAGAAGGTGCCATTATAAAGCTTTACCACTTTTTACGACAATTTTAAATCCATCGATCACTTCGCTAATCATTCCGTGGACATACCATATAGTCTATAGCTAATTACACACGTCATTATTTTTCACGGCGAGAATCCGCCACTGTGTTGAGAAATTATACACCCCGAAGGGATTAATTTTTTGGAAACTTCAAAGCAAAAGCCGAATACATTAGCATATATGTATATACTCTCATAAATATATTTTATAGCTTTTAACAAACCGATTGAGCTTTTGAACGAAATCCGAAAAAAGTTTATTACGATTTTCTCAGAAAGACAATTTCTCCAAAAAACCTTTTGACTTTCCATTTTACTTCAAATCATCAGTTTCCTTGGTAACTACAGTGAGCTCCGGTTATTCAGACGGAGTAGCTACTTCATTAAATACGATTCAGGACCTTCTGATATTAAGGGTCTTAGTTTTTTAACCCACTTTTCCTCAGTGAATTACCATGTGAGCATTTGATTCCTATCGTTCAGCTATGCTATAGTCATCCTATCTGAACAATTTCTTCGAAGATTGCACTATTGTCTTAGGCAATAACCTATACCGAATTTCGTGAAGATATCTGAATAGTGGTCCGATATCGGCGGTTTCGACAAATGAGCAGCTTCTTGGGGAGAAAAGAAAGTGTGTAAAATTTTAGATCTACAAGTATATCGGAAAAATTGAGGAACTAGTTCACGTATGCACAGACAGAAAAACAGACATGGCTAAATCGACTCAACTCGTCACGCTGATCATTTATATATTTTTCTTATAGGGTTTCCAACGTTTCCTTCCCGATGCTTCAAATTTCGTTACAACACGTATGACACGTTTCTTCCGAATTAGTTATGAGGTTTTCTAAAACTCAACACGTGACAGTATCTTTCGCTGCATAAAAATATTTTTCAACTTAAGTAAGGTCCGAAATTATGGGCTCCAGCTTTTCGGTCACACTATTATTATCACCAGACAAATTTATTGGGCAAAACATTTATCTTTTGTTAAATGTAGCGTGACCGTTGATTAAGGCAATAAAAGAGTATGCAAAGAAATTCCAGAAATACAGATCCCACTCACTGCTTTAATGCTTCATTGGTTTTCGAAATTGTTTTTCAGTTTGGGATTGCGTGCGCCGCCACTGATGTGAACGACTAGTGGGTAAAAAGGCAAAGCAGGGAGATAATATGATTTTGCTAGACGAAAAGAGCTCCAGCTGAGAGCTGCTCCCACATTTGTTGCCATGATGCTGCTGGCTGCAACAAAGTACGCTCTGGACTATTTAAAGCAAGTAGCTGCATTTATAAGAAAATAAGTATTGAGTATTTGACTTAAAACACTTGCTATTATGCCAAAATATAGGGAAGAAAAAACATATCATAAACATACATATGAACGTGCAAGTGCAATAAGTGGCGCTCCGTTAATATACCAGAAAAAAAATTTATTTTATATTAATGGAAACTCTGGGCGTCCGCAGGCTTGCATATGTTCGACTGCATTTGGTATTATAATGAGCATTTTACCAAACCATTTAATTAGACAATAAATTAAAAACAAGAGACATAAAATGAAAGAGAACTCACAACAAAACACTGTTTCTTTCAATTGTCATTTCGTTTGTGTGGAATTCTGCTGTCAAGTCAGTCAATTTTTAATTCGATAGTTGTACACCTCATTGTTTCTAGTTGGAGTAAACGAATATATTAACTTAAGCAAAAAGGTGTATGTGTGTGTGTGTTTATGCACTCCGCTCTGCTCTCCTTATAAGTTGCCATCTCCGTTTATTCGTTATGCATTGCAGCAGCTCAACAATCTGTCGCCGCAGCGCTTATTCACTACTCGCTGGCGTCAACTCGTTGTTTAACACTCGCTGATTACTTCACTTCATTCGTTGGCTGCTTGGGTTTTTTGCACTAGTGAATAGATGCGATTGATTTACTCGCTGAATTGCTCAACTCGTTGCTTTTTTAGCCAAGTCTTTCATTTTATCTGCACCAATGAATTTTTTGGCTAGCTGCTGTGCTAGTTGTTGCTGCTTCTTATTTATTTTCTTTTCTTGTTTTAGGTTTTGACCTTTTTGGTATATCATTTCTTTATGCACCTTTTTTGTTGTTGCAGTTCATTGTGGCAATCTTATCGCTTTGTTTGTCTTTCGACTTGGACGTCGTCTTTTACTTCATTTCCTACAGATGATGGAGTATCTGCATCTAATTCTCGAGCGTTGCGTACACGGTTAGAAATGCTTTTCTCTTAAAAAATATATTGGGATTTGGCTGGGGTTCACAGGATTTTCAACGTCTTGTTTTTGTTTCTTTTTTTTTTGTGCAGAACCTATTTGGTACAGACCTTAGATCCACAAGAAGCACAGCTAAGCATCTACAAGTACTAATCTTTTTCAATGTATATAACACCGGGATGAAGACAGATTTACCAACTTTAACCGACTGATTGTAGAACTTGAAGACTTCCAACATACAGTTTTTTATAGGCAGACCTCTCTGAAAACGTGATATGTTACACTCTTACCGGTCTGAGGATTTGCAAGCACACAGCCTTATTAAGAGTGCTTCCTGAGAACGACAAAAGGTATAAGGGTATATTATTTTATATAGACTATTTTATAAAATTCTGGTACATAGAAAATTATTTCTTTAATACAGAAGTTAGAATTACGTTTTCTTTAGACCAAATCCTACCCTGAACCTAGTCCACGCTAGTCTTTTAAAAAGTCCAGCTGCTCTCAAGCGTCTACTGCTTCTCTTACTTGATCTTTGAATCATTTAAGTATGTATAAATAAATAAAACCTACATCACATTTTTCTCAGTGTAATCAGCCTCCATTCGTGTTGCAGTGTTGCTTAAACATCGCAGCTACTGCTGCCTCTAATCTTCCATCTCTAAAGTTCTCAAGTTCTGTTGCTCTGTGCAATGCAGCGCGCCACACCAATCTAGTTACACCAACAATACACAAATACAAATGCATACACCATTTTACACACATACACAACGAGTGAAATACGTATGAAGGCGATTGCATTCCAGCGCAAGCAAGCAAACAGCCTTTCGCTCGTCTAAATTTAATGCAAATAAATTAAACATCGCCAAGTGAATGTTTCTACTTCGTCTCCGCGTCACCATAATACCCCTTCATAGGCTGAGCTCCACCATCAGCAGCAAGAGCACCTTTGGCTCTTGCCTTCATCTACGGTCATTTTTTCACGAAGCTTTTCTTCTTGTTTATTCTTGCTTGTTGTTTCAGTTGGTGCTGTTGTTGTTGTTGTTGTTGATATTGCAATGGAGTAGCGGTGGCATTTCGTGTGCACTGTGCCACATTATGTTGCACG